ACCGTCTGATCATTTTCCTTCTTGAAATGCATACTTTGGGAGTTTGTTTGGATCATTCTCAGCTTTTATTTACCTGTAAATGTTAAGGAAAGGGCTTATCCCCCCAACACACACACAGACACGCACGAGCACACACACACTAGGCTTGTTGGGTGACCATCAGCTGATGGTCAGGTGATTAACTGTTTCTGTAAAGTAATAATTGATTACAGCCAGTGCTGGGGAAAGGCAGGCTCCTAATAGAAAACACCTGCAGCCAATCAGCAGCTTCCCAGTAAGATCTCAGGGTGGGAAGAAGCAAGGCAAGATCCCGCAAGTACGCCAAGGTGTCTGACCCCAAGTCAAGAGGTCGAGCTGTGTAGTCGGTTTCTCAAGTCAACCGCCTGGCCTTCTTCCAAGTTGTACTTTTCTTCTTCATCCTTTCCTTACTCTTCTAAAGCTCTTTGTTTTGTTTTTGAGATGGAGTCTCATTCTCTCACTCGGGCTGGAGTGCAGTGGCATGATCTCAGCTCGCTGCAACCTCCACCTCCTGGGTTCAAGCAATTCACCTGCCTCAGCCTCCCGAGTAGCTGGAATTACAGGCGTGCCCCACCATGCCCAGCTAATTTTTGTGTGTTTAGTAAAGATGGGGTTTCACCATGTTGGCCAGGCTGGTCTCAAACTCCTGACCTCAAGTGATCCACCTGCCTCGGCCTCCCAAAAGTGCTGGGATTACTGGTGAGCCACCGTGCCCAGCCCTAACACTTTTTCATAAATTTTCACGCCTGCTCTGAAACTTGCCAAGTTTCTCCTTCTTCCTTATGCCCCTCAGTTAAATTCTTTCCTCTGAGGAGGCAAGAATTGAGGTTGCTCTAGATTCAAATGGATTTCCCATTGGTAACTCAGATACCTGCCACTGGTAACAGTTTTGCTGGACACACTTCGTTTTCCTTTTTTTTTTTTTTTTTTTTTTTGAGTTGGAGTTTTGATCTTCTCACCCAGGCTGGAGTTCAATGGTGGGATCTTGGCTCACTGCAACCTCCGCCTCCCAGGTTCAAGCGATTCTCCTGCGTCAGCCTCCCAAGTAGCTGGGATTACAGGCATGCATGCGCCACCATATCCAGCTAATTTTGTATTTTTAGTAGAGATGGTGTTTCACCATGTTGGCCAGGCTAGTCTGGAACTCCTAACCTCAGGTGATCCACCTGTCTTGGCCTCCCAAAGTGCTGGGATTACAGGAGTGAGCCACCGTGCCCACCCCCTGCTGGACACAGTTCTAAGTAGACAATTATTTGCTGTCATCACTTTAAGCTATTACTCCCACCTCCTAGCTTCTGTCATGGTGGTTGAGAAACCAGCTCACGTTTTATTGTCCTTGGAAGGCCATCTGTCATTTCTCTCTGCCTGCTTTCATCATTTCTCTGCCTCTGGCAATCTGTGGTTTCAATAAAATGTGTAAAAGCATGGATTTATGTATTATGCTTGAGATACTTCGTGTTTCCTGGTTCTGAGACTGTTTTTTCATCGTTTCTAGAAAATGTGCAGCCATTTCGTGTTCAATAACCACCACTTTCCCATCCCCTTTATTTTCTTCTTTTGGGACTCCAATAAGATCTTCTCATTCTTATTCTCTGTATCTCTTAATCTCTTTTCATGTTATCCATCTTCTTACCTCTGCTGCATTCTCTCTGTATGTAACTCCCAGCTTACTAATTCTCCTCTTTTGTTTTTTTCTTTTTTTGTTAACACAAGGTCTGGTGCTATTGCCCAGGCTGGAGCGCAGTGGTGCAGTCTTGGCTCACTGCAACCTCTGCGCTCCCAGGCTCAAACCATCCTCCCACCTTAGCTTCCTGAGTAGCTGGGACGACAGGCACATAGCACCATGCTGGGCTAATTCGCTATTCAACTGCTTACTGTTCGTTGAATTTTAGATTTTGAGATTTTTTTTTTTTTAGTAGATATGAGGTCTTGCTCTATCACTCAGACTTGAGTGCAGTGGCGTGATTACAGCTCACTGCAGCCTCAAACATCTGAGCTCAAGCAATCCTCCCTCCTCAGTCTCCCAAGTAGCTGGAACTACAGATGTGCCCCACCATGCATGGCTATTGCTTTTTATGGAGATGGGGGTCTTGTATGTTACCTACAGTGGTCTCAAACTCCTGGTCTCAAGCGATCCTCCCACCTCAGCCTCCTGAGTCACTAGGATTAAAGGCATCAGCCACCACATCCAACTTGAGGTAAGTTCCATTTGTTTTTCCCCAGATTTCTCTCTCTCCCTCTCTCTCTCTCTCTCTCTCTCTCTCTCTCTCTCTCTCTCTCTCTCTCTCTCTCTCTCTCATTTCTGTTCATTTGTATGCTCATCTTTGTGATTGCATCTTGTGTTTCTTTAAACATTTCATGTATAGCTATTCCATATTCCGTCCCCGGGGTCTAAATCTGTTGCTTCCCTCTTTTCTGCCAACTCTCACTCATGGTGGCTTACTTTCTTGTGATTTAGTAAGTTTTGTATTGAAGCCCATACAAGCACATTGCTCTCACTCTGGGCATCCTCCTGGCCTAACCGAGGGAAGCTTTCCTCCACGTGCAGTTTGCTTCTCTCTTGCCAGTAGCAGGGGGCACCCCAACCCAGGACCACCTCAGCCCCCTCAGAGTTTCATCTCAGAGGAGTTCAACTTCCCATCTTCCCCACCCCTAGCTCTTCCGAAGTTCACTATCACCAAATGGCAAAATTGCAGTGAGACTGGCTTTGGAAGCAGCCCGCTCCAGGCAACCAGCCAGTTCCAGCTCCAGTGCCACGAGTTCATTCTTCAGCTCCCTCTGCTGAAACCCGGCTCCTGGCCACTCTATACCCTCACCCTCCTTAATTTTTCTTCACAGCACATGTCACCACCTGTCATATCTTACATCTATTCGTTAAATTGTCTAGTGTAAGACACTCCTCCCCCACAAGAATGTGATGACTTGTTCATTTATATACCGTCAGCAACTAGTGCCGTGCCTGGAATATAACAAGTGTTTAACAATCACGTGACGGATGAATGAATGAAATGAGACACAGCACCAATGAGCCAGTGAGATGACAGACAGGGACAGTCATAATATAGAGAAATAATGTCTGTCACAGGGAAAGGGCGGGGTGGTGGGGCTGAAAGGAGGCCCCACCCTAGATTTGAAGGTCAGAAACCACTTCCCAATCTGAACTGAGGGGAATGAGGATGAGCAAGGCTGAGACTTTAAGGATTTGTCAACATCCACAAATGAGAAGCACAGGGAGAGCCTCCCAGGCAGAACAGCCCAGAGACGAGAGAGAACCTGTTCAGGGAACTCCAAGCTGTTGAGTGCAGCAGCACCGAGGAGGAGGAGGAAGGAGGGGTAAGAGACCGGCTGGAGAGGGGGACACAAGCTGGACCTTGGGCCTTTCTGGTTCCAGTGGGGAGTTTGGCAATGAAAATGGGGGCACCATGGAAGAGCTTCCACAGGGGAGGACACAGGTAGGCTGCAGGATGGAAAACGCCCTCTGGCTTCTGTGTGAAGTTGGAATTGGGAGTGGGGAGGCAAGGAGGCCGGTGGGGCGTCTGCAGGGGATGGAGGCTAGGTGTGCACCAGGGCTGACAGCAGGGGTGGGGACACCCAAGGCAGACCCCTTGGGGTTTCTGGCAGTGGCTTTGGCTGGCAATAGGAACACCTCAGGCTGAGTGGGCTGTGAACAAAAAGGACTCATTGGTGGGCAGAGGGGTTGCCCATCAGCACAGCCTGAGTGGATTTAGAGGGTGAGGGGTCCACACTGCAGACTCCTGAGCCAATGCTGGTCTCATTAGAGCTTCCAGGTTTAGCAAAAATCAAAACACATCGATACAAAGAATGTCCTGCTGCATGTGAATTCAGGTCGACGATGAATAAGGTTTTAGTATGTCTCCCAAATTGGGCATCTGATATTTTATTTGGCAACCCTACCTTCAATAGCCCCCCATACACACACATGCGTACATCCCTTTCTGAAATAACAGTAACAAAACTACACACAGAAACCTGCTCATCTGTGGTCCCTTTGGCGTTTACACGGCATCTGTTCACCACGTGCCTGCTCTGAGTCCCTCGCCGTGAACAGCAGCCCCAGACTCCACCCATTCCATCTCCCTTCCTTCCTCTGGAAGCTCCCAAGAGCTGTGTGGGCTTTGCTGGGTGGGACAGGAGGGCAGAAGTGGGGCCCTGCCTGGCTCCACACCGTCTCCCTCAGTCCCTCCCCCACACCCAGGTGAGACATTTCCAGGAAGCGGTCTCCACTCAGGGCCTGGACCCCAGTGGGGCTCAGAGCCACAGGCTTGGGGCTGCTTCCTGGAACTGCCAGTCTCGTCCCTTGTCGCTGTGGCCACATCCTCCCTCCGGCAGCCCTGGGCTTGGTGGGTTCTAAGAGGCCAGGTCCTGGGCTGGAGAGTTCTATGCAGACCCAGCCACAGCAAAAGCCTGTGTCCCCGCTCCCTGGAGCTGCCCAAGAGAAAGGCTAAAGTTTCCCATGATTCCTCAGGACCCTCATTAGCATGGGGATCCCTGCCCCAACACCTGGGGATCTGGGGCTTAACCACTGGAGATCAAATGGGTGCTCACATCACTCCGATGGCAATGGTGGGGGTGGGGGAATTCTGCCTGGAGTCAGTGTGGGAAAGAGGCCTTCTCTATGCACAGCTGAGGCAATTTTGAAGAAGATGTGATGACCATGAGGAATTTCATTAGACTGGAAGATTGGGGACTGTGGGGTCGGGGGACATATGGAACACCTGGAGGCTGTCCCATGTGGGGACTATTCCTAGAACAGCAGAAAGCCAGTGAGATGGTAGCAGAGGCCTCTCTGGGGAAAGAAACTGAGGCCTGGTGAGATGTGCCTAAGAAGGGACTGTGTCTGCAAGGTTGAGCAGAGCTGGGCCTGGGGCTTAGACAGGCTGGCCTGACACTCAGTCAACACTGTTAATAATAACAAAAATTCTAATATGACACCAGCAACCGTTTACTAAGCACTTACTTCATGCCAAGTCTCTTTATTTGAATTCTTTCACTTAGTCATCAAAATAGGTACTGCTATGGCCTCTATTTTACAAACAGGAAAACTGAGGCACAGAGAGGCTGAGTGGCTTGTCCACAGTCACAGCTAGCAAGTGGCAGAGCTGGCACTGGAGCCCAGGCAGTCTGGCTCCAGAGCCGGTGCCACCCAGTGCCTGGTGAAGGAACTATTTGCATCTAGAACTGTACAGAAGAGCAGAGGATGCCCCAGGAGAACTTTTCCCCAGGGGAAATTCTGCTCCCATTTTCTGCCTGTGACCTTCGAGATCATTAAAACTGCCTGATGGCCTGGCACAGGGCCCTGAGCGTCTACCCCAGCCCTGCTCTTGTGCCAGCTATGTCCGGGGTGCAGCCCCCAAGAGTGACAGCGCGCCACTGAACTGGGAAAAGAGACAAATGGCCATGTAAACGTCTCTCCTTTCCTCCTGCGGGTCACTCAGCAGGCGCAGTCCAGCAGTTACGGCCCCTCCGGCCGGTGCGTGGTATCTGCAAACAAGTGATTGAGCGATTCCAGATGCAGTCTTGGCGCCAAGGGCCGCCGACTGGGCCAATGGCGCCCCCTAGTGTTCGTCCTGGGAAACGCACTGGCTTCATGAGCTTTGTCTCCCACCGGGTCTGACAGGTCTGGGGCAAGCCAAGGGTGATTCTCTTTGGCCTGAGCTTCAGATTTAAAACCCACACTCTGATGTCTGCCAGGGCAAGTTCAATCCTGCCCAATCACCAAGTAGCCAGGTCACTGGAGTCCAGCTGGTTCAGCTGAAGGAGAAAGAAGTGTTTTCCTCCGCCCTTAAGGAAACCCCGTGGGTGGGCTGCTCATCCGAAAGGTCTGTGGAGGGAGGTCTTGGGAGCATTGCAGGAGGAGCCTCTGTGAAAGGCTGAACCTCCCAATCTTTGGGAAGGGTGGGCTTGGAATTGGAGTCATCATAATTTAGGGAGTTAAAGGAAAAGAGGCCTCAGGTATAGGCCAGTAAACTCTCAGACGCTGGGTAGGCCCCACCCACCACAAGCCATCTGGCCCTCCCCAGGAGGAAGTGGCGGGGCCGAACAGGTGCTTCCACGGCGGGCTGGCCGAGATCCTGCCCCTAGCAAGCAGGCGGTGGCCGTGGGAATTCCCACCCCACGCTGACATTCTTCACCTGGGTCCGATGAAATCTTCCCCAAGCTCCCGGGCTGGGCTGGAACAAAGCCGCCTGTCCCCATGTCACAGCTGTGGATACCTGGGGTTGGTGAGAAGTGGCAGGCCCAAGGCCATATAGACAGAATCAAAGCCAGGCCTTGAAACTTGGCATCCTGACACCCAAGCTGGTGCTCTGCCCACATCCCTGGCCAGCTGGGCCCAGGTACCAGGACAAAGTTTGCTGCCCCAGGTGATTTGGACCTGGCGCAGAGCAAAATGCCAGGGAGAGGGAGGGTAACACCCTGCCCTCAGTGCCTGGGGAGACCATGGAAGTGGAAAAGGCCCCCTGGGGGTCACAGTGGCCTCTGGAGTCCTGCAGCAGACCTGTGACCCTCTCTAGCGAGAGCTGTGGCCTCAGGCTACTGGCAGCCAGAGAGGCTGAGGGTTCCAGGCCAGGAGGCCCAGACTACGGCGTTGTCTGGGAGGAGCTGAAGGCCTCTATCTTTGCCTTGGCCTCTGCTTCTGAGCGGCACCGCTGGGAGCAGAACCACAGGAAGAGGAAGGATCCTGCAAGAGAAAGGCTGGTAGGTGGGAGTGCCACGGGCAGTGTGGGTGTCCCCAGAGGCCAGGGCCTCCTGGGCTGCAGTGAGCTGCCCATCCTGGGGCCCACAAGCAACTCCCAGAATCTCTTACTGTAGGAGGCAGAAGGGGCAGAGCCTCAGAGCTGGAAGAGCCGCCGTGGCCAGGCCATAGGGCGTCTTCATGCAGATGTAGCCCCTACCAGCTTGGCTAGTGGAGCTATGGGCTGGATGTCAGTCCCCCACTTGCCCCTTCCACCTGAACCCCTTTGTCAGTGAACAGCCCACCAGCCATACACCCCCTGCCCAGTGGCTTCCTCCAGGCTGCCCTCCAGTCCTACCGTAGAGTGAGTTTAAGATGGTGAAGAGGAACAGCTGGGGCAGCAGGAAGATGCCAAAAGAAAAGAAGGCCAAGGCCCAGGTGGTGCCCAGCAGCACAGTGAGGCCCAGCACGGTGACGGTGTCACGGCAGGCCCTGGCACTTGGCGCATCTGCCCGTGCCCGCAGCCTGCGCAGGGTCCATAGCGCCCAGGCCAGCACTACCAGGTTGAAGAGGGACGTGAGGCCACCGTAGCCCATGACCAGGACACTGTGCACCACGGGGCTCCGCACCCAGCATCTGCGGAAGAAGGTGACATGTCAGGTTCACAGCGGCTCCCAGGTGGGCGAGGGGCCAGCGCCACTGCCTGAAGCCCCACCTGGTCTCCTGGCTCAGGCCCTGTTGTTTCTGGCCTGACGGAACACACGGTAAAGCCCCTCACCCAGCTTTCCAGCCAGGCCACCACCAGAGAACACATCTGCTGCCTTGGTCAACGATCTGCAGCTCCCTCATGCCCACCTTTCCAGCCACTGTGGTTTCTCTCACTTCCCCGTGCCTTCACTCACCTGAACACTCTTCCTCTCTCCATTTTACATCTCACTCCTCTCCGCTTCCACGGCCAGCCCAAGGCTGGCATGCCCCATCTTCTATTGGACCCTGGGCCCAGAGCCCTCTTTCCTGGAAACTTCCTCTTCCACCCCAGGACATGGTGCCACCACCTCGTCATCATCTCTGCAGTGGGACGCCCCTCCCCACGAGCCTCTTCCCACCTAGACTGGGCCACCATGCCCTTCCCTGGGCAGTGGGCAGACTGCCAACCCGTGGTTTGGTGGAAGGGCACTCTCCAAGTGTCAACCTGGGAGCAGACAGAGCAGCAGGAGAGCCCCCCCAAGGTCTGAGCACAAAGCCGGGGAGAACTGACCCAGGCCAGCCCCGGTCCTGGGCCCTCCTGGAGGCCTCCACCCTTTGCCTCCCCAAGACACCTTCAAGACAGATGCCACTTTTTAGTCAGACACAATGTCATGTTGAGGCAGGAGAATAGGGTTTGGAGACAGGGAACATAGGACTTCCTAGAACTAAATCAAATGGAAGCCAGGCACGGTGGCTCACGCCTGCAATCCCTGTACTTTGGGAGGCCAATGTGGGCGGATCACTTGAGGTCAGAAGTTTGAGACCAGCCTGGCCAACATGGTGAAACCCCATGTCTACTAAAAGTACAAAAATTAGCGGGGTGTGGTGCCTGTAGTCCCAGCTATTCGGGAGGCTGAGGCAGGAGACTCACTTGAATCCAGGAGGCAGAGGTTACAGTGAGCTAAGATCGTGCCATTGAACTCCAGCCTGGGCAACAGAGTGAGACTCCATCTCAAAAAATAAATGAATAAATAAATATCAAATGGAAACACTTCAACTATGACAGGAAATATCTTCTCCATTTACATAGGGCATATGCCAAATGACTTTGTCACTTTACTTCATCCTCCTCATTTACATAGGGCACACACCAGGTAACCAATGACAGCCTCTAGAGGGTACGTAAACCCCCGCACATTCCGTGACAGGGTTCTTGAGGCCCTGTGCTCTGGCCCATGCCCACACCGTGGCTTCTACTTTCATCTTCAATCAATCTCTGCTTTTGTTGTTTTATTCATTTCTCACTTTGTACATTTTCTTCTTTATTTTATTTTATTTATTTATTTAGTTTTGAGAGGGAGTCTCACTCTGTTACCCAGGCTGGAGTGCAGTGGTCTGATCTTGGCTCACTACAACCTCCGCCTGCCAGGTTCAAGCAACTCTCCTCTCTCAGCCTCATGAGTAGCTGCGACTACAGGTGCATGACACCATACCCGGCTAATGTCTTTGTATTTTTAGTAGGGACAGGGTTTCGCCATATTGGTCAGTGTGGTCTTGAACTTCTGACCTCAGGTAATCCACCTGCCTCGGCCTCCCAAAGTGCTGGGATTACAGGCGTAAGCCACTGCTCCCAGGCTTGTCTCATTCTTTCTTCAAGATGCCAAGAACCTGGACACCCTCCACCAGTAACAATGTGCTTGACGTGAATTGTCCCCTGCAATCCCCATGACACCCCATAAGGCAAGTACATAGTCGTCCTCATCCTACAGATGAGGAAACTCAAGCTCTGGCTCAGGAACACATTCCAGTTAGAGGCAAAGCTGGAACCTGAAGCCCCCAGCCAGAGCTTGTGACCATCACAATCCCCTGCTCAGGTTCACTCTGTGGCCCCTGCCCCTGCATTCACCAAGGTCCCAGGATGTTATTTTGGGATTCCTTCAAGTTGATGAGTGTGATAGTGGATCACCCATTTTCACTGCTAGGAAATATTGCCCCCAGGGTGGCCCTGCCACAGTCCATTCACGCAGCATCCTGTCAGCGGACATCTGAATGATTTTCAAGGGCTGTTTTGGTTTCCAACTGATGTTTGGGTTGAGGAGTGTGTATATACATAGTAAGAGATGTTTTCATGTAAGAGTAAAAGAAGTCACAAAATCCAAGATAACTGTTTCCTGAGAGGGGAAAGTGAGGAAGACCCAGGAAGGGGCTGGCTCATAGCTGGGCGTTCTCTAACGTCTGCACACTAGTGGGTCCTGTGGGTGTGTCACTAAAGCTCCTTTGTCCCCCTCACATTATTATATAAGAAAATAGGCCAGGCGTGGTGAATCATGCCTATAATCCCAGCACTTTGGGAGGCCAAGGCAGGCAGATCACCTGAGATCGGGAGTTGAGACCAGCCTGGCCAACATGGTAAAACGCTGTCTCTACTAAAAATACAAAAATTAGCTGTAGGATGGCTCGTGCCTGTAATATCAGCTACTTGGGAGGCTGAGGCAGGAGAATCGCTTGAACCCAGAGGCAGAAATTGCAGTGAGCCAAGATGACACCATTGCACTCCAGCCTGTGCAACAAGAGCGAAACTCCATTAAAAGAAAGAAAAAAAAAAAAGAAATCTTTGGAAAGTATGTAAACTGAGGCCAGAGCCTCCATTTCCTCATCCGTAAGATGGGGATGATGATGAACTTGCCTTACGGGTTCTCATGGAGATTGCAGGGAACAATTCATGTAAAGTGACGTCACATGTCCTCTGAAACGCCAGCCCGAGCCTCACCGTGAAAGGGATGAACCACACCTCTGTGCCACTCAGTCCCCGGTCTTGCTTCAGGGGCTGGGGCCTGGCTCTGGACCAGCCTGCCAGAGACCAAGTCCCAGCTCTGCCATTGACTGGGCTGGGGCCCCTCAGATGGACTTCGTAAGCCGCCTGTGTCTCAGTAGCCCTAAATGTAAAATCAGGTTGGCAACAGGACCTGCCCCTGCCCTTGTGAAAAGGAAGCCGGCTGATGCCCGAGGCCTGCCACAGAGTTCGCCCCCAGCCATCCTGAGCCTGCATCTGCCAGGAGGGAAAAGAAGGCTCCACAGACAACTGCAGGAGGGCGACAGGCCCGCCGAGTTCCTTAGGCTAGTCTGTCTGCTGCTAGAAATGCTGCATAATAGTAAAAAGCTGAATGTCCTAGGGTGCAGGGAGGGCTATACGAGAGCAGCAGCAGCATGTCCCCAGGCCCCCAAAGGCCCACCTCATGGCCTCTTCTCGCCTCCCCCAAGCCTAGCTGCCACAGCACTCTTGTTCAACTAGGAGGGCTGGAGGGGCCTGGCAGTATCATGCCCAGGGCAGGTCGGGAGGAGCCAAAGCCTGAGAAGGTGCAGCAAGGTGGTCTGCAGGGGAACAGAGTCAAGTGCAGGCTGAGCCAGACCCTCAGGGCCTGGGCACTGGAGGGCGGGGCAGGAGAGTTGGTTGTGTGGCCACGTGCGATGGGGAGGCGGGAGGCCCGGCTGCCCTGGCAGGTTGAGGAGCAGAGGCTGGCTTCATAGACTTCACCAGCATAGAACACAAAGCTGCCTCTGCAGGAGACCTGGATCCATGGAAAGCATGTGGCAGAGTTTTTTGTAACCCCCCGTGGAAGCCCCAGCTCCCTCCCTGCCCCACAGCCAGTGCAGCCAGTGCCTTGCCTACAGGATGTTGCAGTTGGAGCCCCAGGCCCATGTGGCCCTTCTGCAGAGCCAGGGAGCCCACTGTAGCCTTTAGGGCACTCACATGGATACATTCTGGAAGCCCGTGCCATTCTCCCAGCTGTCGAAGACGGCGATCGTGCAGGGTCCGTACACTGAGCTCTTGACAGCGAGGGGAAGCAGTACCAGGAGGGCTGGGGCCCCTGAGGGGTGGGACAAAGGCTCAGGAGATGTGGGAGAGAGCTGGCTCTCAGTCCCTGGGGCTGCTGACACAGAATGCCACTGGGCCAGGAACAGCTGGGAGGAGACTGTTCTGAGCCCCCAGTTTCAGAGCAATGAGCCTGGTGGTTTGGAGGAAGCTCTCCTCCAAGATGATGTTAGTGATGGCTCTATGATGGAACAGTGATGGAGGGTGGAGCGGTCACACTGGGAAGGTGGCGGTGGAGCGTAAATGGGAGGGAGGGCTGAGAAATTACTGAGGAAAGAGATAAGCAAGAAAGGGGCAAGGACGGTGATGAAGGTAGTGATGGTGCTGTTGGGGGTAGAGAAAGTAGAGGAGGTGATGGTGGTGACGGAGGTGGAGGAGGTGATGATGGTGTGATGGAGGTGGAGGAAGTGATGATGGTGGTGATGGAGGTGGAGGAGGTGATGATGGTGGTGATGGAAGTGGAGGAGGTGATGATGGTGGTGATGGAGGTGGAGGAGGTGATGATGGTGATGGAGGTGGAGGAGATGGAGGAGGTGACGGAGGTGGAAGAGGTGATGGTGGTGACAGAGGTGGAAGAGGTGATGATGGTGGTGATGGAGGTGGAGATGGAGGAGGTGATGGAGGTGGGGGAGGTGATGATGGTGATGATGGAGGGGGAGGAGGTGATGATAATGATGATGGAGGTGGAGGAGGTGATAATGGTGGTGATGGAGGTAGGGGCAGTGGTGATAGAGGTGGAGGAGAGGATGGTGGTGGTGATGGAGGTGGAGAAGGTAGTGAAGGTGATTATGGTGGTGATGGAGGTGGAGGAGAGGATGATGATGGTGATGGAAGTGGAGGAGGTAGTGAAGGTGATTATGGTGGTGATGGAGGTGGAGGAGAGGATGATGATGGTGATGGAGGTGGAGGAGTAGTGAAGGTGATTATGGTGGTGATGGAGGTGGAGGAGAGGATGATGATGGTGATGGAAGTGGAGGAGGTAGTGAAGGTGATTATGGTGGTGATGGAGGTGGAGGAGAGGATGATGGTGGTGATGGAGGTGGAGGAGTAGTGGACATAATTATGGTGGTGATGGAGGAGGAGGAGAGGATGATGATGGTGATGGAGGTAGAGGAGGTAGTGAAGGTGATTATGGTGGTGATGGAGGTGGAGGAGTAGTGGACATAATTATGGTGGTGATGGAGGAGGAGGAGAGGATGATGATGGTGATGGAGGTGGAAGAGAGGATGATGATGGTGATGGAGGTGGAGGAGGTAGTGAAGGTGATTATGGTGGTGATGGAGGTGGAGGAGAGGATGATGATGGTGATGGAGGTGGAGTAGTGGAGGTAATTATGGTGGTAATGGAGGTGGAGGAGAGGATGATGATGGTGATGGAGGTGGAGGAATAGTGGAGGTAATTGTGGTGGTGATGGAGGTGGAGGAGAGGATGATGATGGTGATGGAGGTGGAGGAGAGGATGATGATGGTGATGGAGGTGGAGGAGTTAGTGAAGGTGATTATGGTGGTGATGGAGGTGGAGGAGAGGATGATGGTGGTGATGGAAGTGGAGGAGGTAGTGAAGGTGATTATGGTGGTTATAGAGGTGGAGGAGAGGATGATGATGGTGATGGAGGTGGAGGAGAGGATGATGATGGTGATGGAGGTGGAGGAGTTAGTGAAGGTGATTATGGTGGTGATGGAGGTGGAGGAGAGGATGATGGTGGTGATGGAAGTGGAGGAGGTAGTGAAGGTGATTATGGTGGTTATAGAGGTGGAGGAGAGGATGATGGTGGTGATGGAAGTGGAGGAGAGGATGATGATGGTGATGGAAGTGGAGGAGTAGTGGAGGTAATTATGGTGGTGATGGAGGTGGAGGAGAGGATGATGATGGTGATGGAGGTGGAGGAGAGGATGATGATGGTGATGGAGGTGGAGGAATAGTGGAGGTAATTATGGTGGTGATGGAGGTGGAGGAGAGGATGATGATGGTGATGGAGGTGGAGGAGAGGATGATGATGGTGATGGAGGTGGAGGAGTTAGTGAAGGTGATTATGGTGGTGATGGAGGTGGAGGAGAGGATGATGGTGGTGATGGAAGTGGAGGAGGTAGTGAAGGTGATTCTGGTGGTTATAGAGGTGGAGGAGAGGATGATGATGGTGATGGAGGTGGAGGAGAGGATGATGATGGTGATGGAGGTGGAGGAGAGGATGATGATGGTGATGGAGGTGGAGAAGGTAGTGAAGGTGATTATGGTGGTGATGGAGGTGGAGGAGAGGATGATGATGGTGATGGAAGTGGAGGAGGTAGTGAAGGTGATTATGGTGGTGATGGAGGTGGAGGAGAGGATGATGATGGTGATGGAGGTGGAGAAGGTAGTGAAGGTGATTATGGTGGTGATGGAGGTGGAGGAGAGGATGATGATGGTGATGGAGGTGGAGAAGGTAGTGAAGGTGATTATGGTGGTGATGGAGGTGGAGGAGAGGATGATGATGGTGATGGAGGTGGAGTAGTGGAGGTAATTATGGTGGTGATGGAGGTGGAGGAGAGGATGATGATGGTGATGGAGGTGGAGAAGTAGTGGAGGTAATTATGGTGGTGATGGAGGTGGAGGAGAGGATGATGATGGTGATGGAGGTGGAGGAGGTAGTGAAGGTGATTATGGTGGTGATGGAGGTGGAGGAGAGGATGATGATGGTGATGGAGGTGGAGAAGGTAGTGAAGGTGATTATGGTGGTGATGGAGGTGGAGGAGAGGATGATGATGGTGATGGAGGTGGAGTAGTGGAGGTAATTATGGTGGTGATGGAGGTGGAGGAGAGGATGATGATGGTGATGGAGGTGGAGGAGTAGTGGAGGTAATTATGGTGGTGATGGAGGTGGAGGAGAGGATGATGATGGTGATGGTGGTGGAGGAGGTAGTGAAGGTGATTATGGTGGTGATGGAGGTGGAGGAGGTAGTGAAGGTGTTTATGGTGGTGATGGAGGTGGAGGAGAGGATGATGATGGTGATGGAGGTGGAGGAGGTAGTGAAGGTGATTATGGTGGTGATGGAGGTGGAGGAGAGGATGATGATGGTGATGGAGGTGGAGGAATAGTGGACGTAATTATCGTGGTGATGGAGGTGGAGGAGAGGATGATGATGGTGATGGAAGTGGAGGAGTAGTGGACGTAATTATGGTGGTGATGGAGGTGGAGGAGGTAGTGAAGGTGATTATGGTGGTGATGGAGGTGGAGGAGAGGATGATGATGGTGATGGAGGTGGAGGAGTAGTGGAGGTGATTATGGTGGTGATGGAGGTGGAGGAGAGGATGATGATGGTGATGGAGGTGGAGGAGTAGTGGAGGTGATTATGGTGGTGATGGAGGTGGAGGAGAGGATGATGATGGTGATGGAGGTGGAGGAGTAGTGGAGGTAATTATGGTGGTGATGGAGGTGGAGGAGAGGATGATGATGGTGATGGAAGTGGAGGAGTAGTGGACGTAATTATGGTGGTGATGGAGGTGGAGGAGGTAGTGAAGGTGTTTATGGTGGTGATGGAGGTGGAGGAGAGGATGATGATGGTGATGGAGGTGGAGGAGGTAGTGAAGGTGATTATGGTGGTGATGGAGGTGGAGGAGAGGATGATGATGGTGATGGAGGTGGAGGAATAGTGGACGTAATTATCGTGGTGATGGAGGTGGAGGAGAGGATGATGATGGTGATGGAAGTGGAGGAGTAGTGGACGTAATTATGGTGGTGATGGAGGTGGAGGAGGTAGTGAAGGTGATTATGGTGGTGATGGAGGTGGAGGAGAGGATGATGATGGTGATGGAGGTGGAGGAGTAGTGGAGGTAATTATGGTGGTGATGGAGGTGGAGGAGAGGATGATGATGGTGATGGAGGTGGAGGAGTAGTGGAGGTGATTATGGTGGTGATGGAGGTGGAGGAGAGGATGATGATGGTGATGGAGGTGGAGGAGTAGTGGAGGTAATTATGGTGGTGATGGAGGTGGAGGAGAGGATGATGATGGTGATGGAAGTGGAGGAGGTAGTGGAGGTGATTATGGTGGTGATGGAGGTAGAGGAGGTGATGGCAATAATGGAGGTGGAGGAGATGATGATGGTGATGATGGTGATGATGGAGGTGGAGGAAGTGATGGAGGTGATGGTGATATAGGTGGTGGAAGAGGTGATGATGGTGATGAAGGCAGTGGAAGACATGATAAAATTAGTAATATAGAAAGTAGAGGAGGGCGTAGACTGAGGTCACAGCTGGTGGTCATGTAATGGCCACTATGATGATGAGGAGGAGGGGAAGAAAGGACTAGAGAGGATCAACACCCTGCCCGCCTGGAGGCCTCAAGACAAGGAGAAGAGGGACGCTGTGCTTACCCCAACCCAGCACACAAAGCTTAAGCACATATCTGCGGATGTAGATGTTGTAGACACGCCCAAGGAGGAGGTAGAGGTTGAAGCCCTCGATGGCCATCCAGGTGAGGCAGCTGAGCAGCGCGTAGTGCAGGGCAGCAGCCAGCGCCGTGCACGCTGACCCGGGCACAGGAGACATGGCGAATGTGGGGCTCAGCAGGAAGGTGATGTTCAGGAGCAGCACGGAAGCGTGCAGGTTCATGTGGATGCGTGTTAGGGAGTCACTCTGCTTCCTGCAGGTGAGAGGAAGGCCCTCCATGGCCCAGGGACATCACCCAGGCTGCACCACCCTATGGGCGCATAGGTGCACACTGACGGGGAATCTGAAGTGAAGGAGGGGCAGGAATCCCACAGCAGCCGCTCCAAAGGCTGGCCTCCCACCTCCTGGCCTCTACCCCCTGGAGAAGCCCACCCAGTTCTAGTGGACTAAATGGGACACAGTGGAGGAGATGTGCCACAGGGAGGTGCAGGCCCAGCACTGTGGCAGCAGAATACCTGGCATGGAAGTGCAGTAGGACCGTGAGCAGTGAGGCCACAATGGAGATGCTGCAGCCGACGAGGGAGATATATGTGAGAGGAGCCAGCAACTCTGCAGGGACCAGGGCCGGGGAGAGTTGCTGCAGGAAGGAAGAGGGGCTGGAGGCCAGAAGCATAGCATCGCCCTCCCTCCCAGCCTCAGTCAGAGGGCCCTCCCCAGGCCTCCGCTCCAAGTCTCTTTCCCCACAAGCCTAGCCATGAACCTGGCTTGAACAAGGCCATGGCAGATATGGTAAGTTTTGCCCCTCCACAGCTCCCCTCTCCCCCTTCTATGAATACCTCCCTTCCCCCATTCCCTATGCACCTGGGGGTCTCCACCACCACTTTACCCTCTCTGTGCAGAAAGGTGTACCAGGCCTGGCCTGGCAGGGCCTTCCCTCTTCCTGCCAGTAATGCTTGGTTCAATGATGAACACATGGCTGGCAGAACTGGGTAAAAGATCTTATTCCACTGGCCTGAAAGCTACCAGGACATGAGCCTGGAACTGCTGCCAGCTATATTATTAGCTCATAAGGAGATCCTGTTTGAGGGCGAAGCCAGCACAGAGCAAGCACAGTTGAGGGACAGAGGTAGAGTGCTATCTTAGTGAGCTTAGTGATCAGCCCCTGGATCAAGCCATGCCTGAAGCCTCACCCAGCCTTTTCAGAAACATGAGTCCATAAGGTTTTTTTTCTTCTGTTATTTTGCTTAAGCCCTTTTGAGTTGGATTTTCTGTTCCTTGCACCAGCTTTTGCCTTGCCCCTCTGCCACAGACGCAGGGCCCTCTACAGCTCTGAGCCTCACTCGGGATGTACACATACCATGAGAACAGCAAAGTAGGTGAGGTGGTTGCAGCGGCAGAGCACCTGAAAGGGGGAGGGCTGCTCTGTATGACAGCCCTCAGGGCTCCAGGCCCCCCAGTGCTGCTTACTGGCTCCCTCCTTCCAGAAGACACAGGTCACAGTGTAGCCTTCCTGTAGGGAGATGCTGGGGTCAGTCAAAGGGTGCAGAGGAAAGGCTGTGGGTCAGTGTCTGGGAGTCCTGGGGGCCAACAGTAACTCAACTGCACATTTGCCAACATTTTACCAGGCACTGGCTGGCCTTTGGTCTCAGTCTCAGATTCCAGCCCCATCTCCATTAGGGACTTTCAGAGTGACCCAGGCAAGATGGCAAGTTGCTCTGAGCGTCAGTTGAGTCATCTACAGAATAAGGTCATTCATACTCATGTCACAAGAATGGTGGGAAAACAAAAGGCAACAGGGAATCTTGAGTGTCCAGCTCTGGCCTTTTATACAGTAGGCGCTCTATAACCAGCTGGTCCCTTCCCCTCCTCCCGGTGGGGAACAGCAATGTGCTCAGACCCATGCCTGGTCAGGGGAGACTCATCCACAGGCAACCTAACGCCAAGCCACATGTGTGGAGAGGTGGAGGAAATGACAGGCAGCCATGGAAAACAACGGAGAGCAGGCAGAGCTGACCCAAAGACAAGGGGAGGTGAGGGCCCTGGGGCCTTAGAGGTTGTGTTGGATTTCAACACGAGTAGGGCAAAGGCATTCCAGGTGGAGGGAACTGTTGTGGCAAAGCCCAGAGGGAGAAAGGAAAGGCTAGTGATGAAATTCAGAGTGTAGGGCAGTCCTGGTGAGGCTGCAGGGAAGATGGATCCAGAAAGCAGAGGCTCCGGGCTTTTCAGGAATGCCAGGAGCTGAGAAATGAATGCATTAAGGCTTGTGAGCCACCCCACTCCACCCCCACCCACAACAAGCACTCCTCTCTTTTTCCAGGATCAGCATCTGTACTTCCCCTAGGAGCTCAATCCTCCACCCTAGTCCCTGGGCCATGTGACCTGGCCCTGGCCAATCCACATATTCCATCCCCCTGGGCACCGTGACAGGTGCAAGGATGGATAATGACCCAGATGAACGTTTAAGATCCTGAGACCCTGATCTGCACTGGGGCAGGTTGCAAGTAGGGGGTAGGGGGAAAAGCCTGATGGGAAGAGGGAAAGGAAGTCTTGCTCTCCAGCTTCCGGCATGCCACAGAAGGGACAGCCAAGGCAGAAGACCATTGCTGAGATGGAGAGGGCATCAGATCCGTCCTGGATCCATCACATCCGCCCACAAGGGCATCCAACCTGTCCCTGGATCCAGCCGTGCCTGAAGCTGGTGGACCAGCCCTAGACATTTCGTTGATGTGTGCCAATCAGTTCCCTCTGGGCTTAAGCTGGCTTGAGCTGATCTATCCTCACTTACAACTGAAAGAATCCTGACAAATACATGAGTAAAAACGTCTCTCTCTCTTATTTCTTGAGCAGGAATTTTCAAAGTGTGATGGGTTTCAAACAGTCTGTTTGTTTCCAAGATGGTTCCACAGGTTTGGGTCTGGTGAAACCAGTTTTCAACAGGAGAGTCACAGAGGGGCAAGGGTGCAGTGGAAATGGGGCGCCCCCAGCAGTACCAGGCTTTGGTTGTGCCAGAAGCTGATGTTCACCGGATCCCTGAGGTTGTTCACGTGCCCGTGACTCAGCTGGGCCCCGAGGACGTCGTTATTGAGCAGAGATGAGTTGTTTTCATCCTGGAATGGCAGCAGGAGAAGGGCTCAGTGCAGGGGGAATGAGGAGATGCTGGGTACGGTCTGAGCCCGCTTCCCTGGCTGAGAACAAGCAGCAAGAGTTTCATGTGTGCAGCGTGAAAGCCTTCCCAGCCTCCCAGCTTTCTTTGCATGTGCTGTTCATGCCCTGTGGAAAGCTGTCCCATCACCACCCGCTGCTCCACCTCCCATTGCTTAATGCATTCCAGCCTCATGCCCTCCACCTCACCACTATCGTCACTCACGTTCAAAGCCAAGGTTGAAAGGCACCTTCGCCAGAAGCTCCCCTGGACCGCACAGTGGAAGGACCCCAACCCCACCCTCACTCATCCATCACTCTGGATCTCTACGGCTAACATCAATCTTGTGCTGATGTTAAATCTCTAAGGTCTGGCCAGGCACAGTGGCTCACGCCTGTAATCCCAGCAATTTGGGAAGCCAAGGCAGGTGGATCACTTGAGGCCAGGAGTTCAAGACCAGCCTGGTCAACATGGTTAAACCCGGTCTCTACTAAAAATGCAAAAATTAGCTGGGCATAGTGGTGCATGCCTGCAATCCCAGGGAGGCTGAGGCAGGGAAATCACTTGAACCCAGGAGGCGGAGGTTGCAGTGAGCCAAGATCACACCACTGATCTCCCACCTGGGCAACCGAGCAAGACTCTGCCAAAAAAATAAATCTCTAAGGTCTTAGTCTAACCATTGAGAAAGAGCTCTCTGAGGGCAGGGAACAAGTGCCTTCTTGTCTGTCTCCTGTGTAGGGACAGGCACATAGTAGGTTTCTTAGGTATCATCTGCAGATTGTAATTGTGCCTTCCTACCATTCTGCTAAAGCTGGCAGGGAAACTGAGGCCCAGAGAGGGGCAATGGCTGGCTTGGATTGCACAGTCAGCTGGCTGGTCTCACTTGGTACTGGTCTCCCAGAGGCGAGGCAGTGACGTGGACACCTGCAGTGGATCCCAAGAAGGGACTGGCACCACCCCCTCCTTGGCCCGCCATCACACTGACCTTGAAAAAGTGGGCGTTGGAGAAGTATATACAGATGAGCCGCAGCTCCCTGGGGCGGGTCTTGCAGGCGTCCCGGGTCAGCTCGGAGGGGAACTGCATGGCATGCTGACTGCGGGCCTACAAAGGGTCACAGACTGGCTGCATCTGGCAACCAGGACCTGCAGACCCGACCCCAACACCTTCACTGCCTCCCACTCCGCATGAAACCTCCCTCGGGGATTCCACCTACAGAACCCTCTCCCAGCAGGCAGCATCTCCTCCCAAACTTCCCAAGATCCCAAGCCCTCCCTCCATGCTGCTCAGGGATGGAGCTACCTCAGACACAGCCCCAGTCCCAGCCAGGGACCCAGCCAATCACCCCAGCATCCTGAAAGGAGCCAGGGTTTCTGGCCTCTCCCACAGCTGCCTCCCCCAGGGGGCCTCCAGCCAAAGCAGGAAGCAGACTCCACCCTGGAGGGGCCATAAAGCACCTCCCTTTCCACAGTTTGCACAGCGAGTATCAGCCCCAATTTACAGAGGAGGTGACACACTCCCAGTTAGGGCAGAGCCTGGACTGGGGGGCATGGGGAGGGGGACAGTGGAGCCCAAAAAAGTCCAGATCTTAAACCCCTGGGGGATTTCCAGGGCGGAGGCAACTGGCCACCCCCCCACCCCCCACAGCCTCTGACCTGGGGCACCTGCTTCACAGCAGCACTAGTCAGCGAGAGGCCAGAGAAGTCACAGCTCAGCTTGAAGGCCAGAGACTGGATGGTAGCTGTCTGCAAGGTCAGGTTGTGGCCTGGGAAGCTGGTGTTCAGCAGCATCTGCTCTAGCTGGTGGAGTTGACTGCGGCCCAGAGAGATGGCCAGGGAGGCCAGAGCCCAGAGTCAGATAAGGGTGAGAGGGGGCTCTAGACAGCCTGGGAGGGCAGGGTCTCCCCACCCACACCCCTGTCACTCCCACCTCCAGACCACTGCACACACAGTGTCTTTGGCACACTCTTACTTCTCTATCCCATACCTCCTCTCCTCTCGATTAACTCCTGTTCAGGTCCCAGTTTATTGTCGCCTCCTCTAGGAAGCCTTCCCTGACTGCTCCCTCACAGCTTCCCTGTAGTCACTCTTATCCCTGGCCAGTCTTCAGCACTGGCCTCTCACCCAGAGCAGTTCAGTCTTTGGAGAACCCAGCCAGAGTCTTAGAGCCCCTTCCCAGGAAAATGTATGGAGACCCACAATTCCGTACTTAGTTTCATGACATCCAAGATTTCGGGGCCCCGTTCCTAGATGATAAACTTCATGAGGGCAGTGACATGTCTGCCCAGCATCTCCAGAGCCTAGTGTCAGGCATGCAGTAGGTGCTCAATAAAAGTGCTGAAAAATGCACAGTTAAGAGTCTACACTGGACCAACCCGGTCCCACTGATTTGAGGCGCAGCCTTGGGGTGGGAGGCACAGCTGAGTCTAAACAGGAGAGAGACATGTCCAACTCACCCAGGAAAAGAAAACGAGCTCCGGGCCCTGGGCGCCTCCATATTCTCCATGATTCGCAGTTCCTTCCGTGGCTCTGTGGGGACACACCTCGCCCTCAGCCTGTCTCAGTTGCCCGCTGGCCCCACGGCCTCTAGGCTTTCCATCCCAGACTAAGGGTCTGGTTCACAAGCATCTCCTACTGCCCCCAGGAAGCCTAAGTGACCCCTTTTGATCTCCCGTGGTTTGATGCCTCCCCCTTTTGCACCACAGTCCCAGCAGAGCCCCCTTACCTGCTGCTGCATTCTGCAATATCAGAAGGCACAGGCACAGGAAAATGGCACCACAGCGATCCATGCCCTGTGCCGAGTCTCCTCCAGGAACTAGCTCTTGCCCTGGAAAAGGGCATGCCATCACCGTCATGACGAAAGAGCGACCTCTAACTTCTAGCGTCTGGCATGTCTAGGGTAGGACATGCAGCATCTTATTTGATCCTCACCACTCTTGCATTTGACAGATGAGGAAGCTGAGGCTAAAGGGCAAAGGAACTTGCTTTGCTTAAAGCTGCCTGAAGCCAGCTCTCTTAAAACTCCAGACTCCATGACCACCAAGTAATGGCTGCCATTAGCAGCTCTGCTTGATACACTCCCCCTCCCAAAAAACAGTCTCTCTGAGGGCTTCCCCAGGACCCCAGCTTCTACCCAGCAGGGAGGTGTCTGGGAGAAAGCAACATGCAAAACCCATCCAGCCCTGCCATTAACTCGTCATGTGGCTTTGGGTAGGATCTGTCTCTCTCTCGCCCTCATTTTCCTCCATTTTAAAATGAACTAATAAACTTCTGCTTCAATGGAGCAAATTTATGTCTGCCCCTTAAAGCCCCACTAAAATGAGAGAGAATGAATACAATAGGCACAAAGCAGCAGAACAATGGGAAAGAAAACAGGCATGAAAAACAGTACAATGGGGAAGAAAAGAGGCAGGAAGCTTCTCAGGAAGCTGCTGGAGGATGTGCTCCAACAAAATGAGAGAGTAAATCATGAAAGAAGACACAGGGTACAGGGTTTCCTGTACCCTACCATGGGAGAGGTAAAGCTACTCTCCAGAAAATGGGCACAAGGACAGAACAATGGGAAAGAAAACAACCACAGAGATGGGAGATGTCAGCAAAACTTTGGAGGCTACAAAGTAGGTGTCACTTGGTAAGACGTTTAGCAGACCAAAAAGTGTTGAACCCAAGTGCCTGCAGTGGGGAGAGGTATGGTGCTGGGGGAAGATGAGGAGAAGCCTCATCTTGGAAGCACTTGAGAACTGGAGGCATCAGGAATCTCTAAAGTGGGGATGAAGGAAAGGCTAAAAACAGGGATTGTTGGCCGGGCACAGTGGCTCACGTCTGTGATCCCAACATTTTGGGAGGCTGAGGCAGGAGGATTGCTTGAGACCGGGAGTTCGAGACCAGCCTGGGCAACATTGCAAAACCCTGATTCTACAAAAAGAAAGAAAAATACAAAAATTAGCTGTGTGTGGCAGCCTGTGCTTGTATCCCCAGCTATTCAGGTGGGTGAGGTGGAAGAATCACCTGAGCCCAGGAGATGGAGGCTGCAGTGAGTTAAAATCATACCACTGCACTCCAGCCTGGGCAACAGAATGAGACCTTGTCTCCAAACAACAACAAAAAAAAATAAAAATAAAAACAGGTATTGTTGGTTGTGAGGCTTTAAAATGTTCAACTCAATCCCCAGATCTCCCCAGCCACCTCGAGTATCCAGGCCTTTCCTCACCATCCTGCCTTCCCCAGTCCTGCTCCACACAAAGTTTACTCTCTGGAGAGAGGAGGTACCATAAAGAATCAGAGGGAAAGGGGAAATTAAACAATATCCCCTCCCCACGTTCTCCCCGACTCAGATTCCAGAAGACTGCAGCAGCTGGGGTTATGCCCTGAGGCAGGAGAAAAGTCTGAAGAGCTGACCATTCCAAGAATAGTATCCTATAAGTACTGCCATTTTTATATTCCTCAATGTCATGCAAGACCTTACTTACAGTGAAATTTCACCAGTCACCAAGCTCTGCCAAGCAATTAGGTTTTTAGTGCTCCTGTCTTAAAGATGAATGATCAACCAAGGATTACTGAGTATTTCAAAACACACACCATTTCTTGAGAAGCTGCTGGAGGATGTGCTCCAACAAAATGAAAGAGTAAATTATGAAAGAAGACACAGGGTACAGGAAACCCTGTACCCTACCATGGGAGAAGTAAAGCTACTCCCCAGAAAATGTGTGAAGGGAAGGCCCAGGCTGATGTCAAACAGCAGGACTAGGGCATTTCCCATCTGGAGGGAGCAGGAGAAAAGAATGCCCCTGGAGGGAGGTCTTCATGAAAAAAAATAGGAAGAGGAAAAGGAGAGGAGATAAACTATCCAATAGGTTTGAGCAACTAGAAAAATTGCTTTCTGAGATGTCTTACAGAAAATTTGTAAATACAAAAATAAAAAGAAGCAATTAATTTCAAGAAAACCAAGTTGTACAAGAAAGAAAATGAAATGCTGCTACACAACTTGACTTAATATGGAATGGAATGTATATAATAGAAACATCGAATGGGAGATGTTTTTAATTGTGTAAAAACCATATTAAGATGATTTTGATTTCCACTTGAAAGTAGAGCCAACTGGGAACATTGTTCCCGTCATAGCAAAGGGAAAGCCAAATAATGTACAAAATCTTTTTTTTTTTTTTAGCTTACTGGGGAGCTGAGGTCACAAGCCACCAAGTAAACTGGTTTCTGGAGATAACCAGAACATGTTATCTGTTTTGGATGAAACAGATGTGTTTCATGTTGACAGAGCATGGAGGAATAGGTAGTTGCCACAAAGTAGATAAGGAGAAAATGACTAATACCTTAATGAATTCTTAATGACTAAGCATTATCGAGAGTGGGAGTTTACTGGGAGCCCCAGACACAAGATAGCCTGTACCCTCTAGACAGCTTCTTCCTACAGTCTTCCACTGGACACTCATGAGAATGATGTGGAGTGGGACAGGGCCCGAGAGAACCCCATGATGACACAGCCATGCCGAACATGCTGGAGCAGTACCTGGAGAAGCATATCTGTGCTCTGGGACCTGCATGAGTGCACGGTGGTAACTGGCTGCTGCTGAGAGATAAACCTGCACCCTGGCTTTGCTTTGATGTAAGATGCCCATCCCACAGGTCCCTGACCTGCTACAAGGCAAATGTGGACTGCCTCTGCTGGAGGAGAAGACCCTTCAACCACAATGCTGCAGTGACACTAAGCAAAAGCCATCAGGGCCGGGTGCCTTGGCTCATGCCAGTAATCCCAATACTTTGGGTGGCTGAGGTGGGTGAATTGATTGAGCCCAGGGATTCGAGACCAGCCTGGGCAACACGGCAAAACTCTGCCTCTAAAAAAAATAATAAATAAATTAGCCAGGTGAGATGGTACATGCCTGTTTTCCCAGCTACTCAGGAGGCTGAGGTGTGAGAATCACCTGAGCCTGTAAAGTTGGAGGCTGCAGTGAGCTGCAATAGCACCACTGCACTCCATCCTGGGCAACAGAGTGAGACCCTGTCTCAAAAGAAAACAAACAAAAAAAGCCACTGGACACTGGCAAAGAAGAGGAAATCCATTAGTGACCAGGATTCTGCACTGCTATAAAACAGAGGGCTGTGCCTACCACTGGGAAAAGAGCAGGAACCTCACTCCCACTCAAGATCCCCCAACTAATAAGGCAGAGTTTCGTTCCCATGGAGGTGAAGCAGAGGAAGTCTGCCTGGATTCTAGTACCTGCACTGAATAAGAGGCAGAGGTTTTCAAAATCTGGAGGAGAAACAGGAACACGAAGAGCCCCTCCTGGGGCTCAGGCTCAAGACTGTCTAAGGCTGAAGCTAGAGCAGGAGAATGAAGACTTCACTGCCTCTACCACAAGCCTTGCACCAAGCACCAAGTAACAGCAGTCTACCACTTGGGAAGAGACTTCAACACGGAGAGAGGTTTCCTCTGTGCTGCATGCATGCAATGCTGAGTGCCGAGGGGGGAATGCTGGGAAAATCCCTGTGGGACTCAAGTCCTCATACTGAACACAAAGTAGGGACAGTCCAACACTGGAGAAATTTGGAGCCTGTAGAAGGTAATTATAGCAACAACAAAACCTAAATCCATCTGAGCACTGTGGCTCATGCCTGTTATCCCAGCACTTTGGGAGGCTGAGGTGGGAGGATCATTTGAGCGCAAGAGTGCAAGATCAGCCTGGGCAACATAGTGAGACTCCATCTCTAAATAAACAGATAAATAAATAAAATGTAAACCTTAATCAACTACAGATTAAATTGACTTGATGCCCTACACTACAGCCATGACATAAGAAATATTCCAATTTCTAGGCATAAATATCATTTACTTTATTACTGTTCTATTACACACAATGCCCAGTGGCTAATCAAACATTTTAAGACATAGAGAACCAGATCTAGAGATGGCCAAAATGTTGGAACTATCAGATAGAAACAAGATAGCTATCATAAATACGCTAACGGGTGTAGTGAAAATGGTAGACTTCTAAGAACAGATGGGAAATTTCAGCAGAACAATGGAAACTGTTAAGGCTAGTCAAGTAGAAATGTGAGTAATGAAAACCTCAGTATCAGTGATGAAGAATTCCTTCAATGGGTTTTTCAGCAAACTGGACACAGCAAAGTAAAGCATCCTGGAACTTGATGATAGTGTACAGAAATCATCCAAATGGAAATACAAAGAGTGAGAAGAGTGAAAATAAAAATCAACAGACTACCCAAGAAGTGCTCACACAGTCTGTATACATATCATTGGGATTAGCTAAAGGAGAGGGAACAGAGAAGTAGAAACAAAGAAAAGAACATTTTAAATGGCCAAATTTTTTCCAAAATTAATAAAAAGCAACAAACCATCACCCAAGAAGCTCTGCAAAACCCCATGGAATAAAAGCAAAGAAAAACACACGTAGATACATTCTAGTCAAACTGCTGCAGAATCAAAGATGAAATCTTGAAGTCGACCAAAAAAAAAAAAAAAAAAAAAAAAGACTCATTGTACCCAGAAGATAAAAGATACAAACTACAAGACTTCTTATCAGAAACTATACAAACCAGATGATAACGCAGCCATATCATTCAGTAAAAATCTGTCATTCTAACACTCCATGACCAGTGAAAATATCTTTCAAAAACGAAGACAAGGTTGGGTGCAGTGGCTCATATCTGTAATTCCAGCACTTTGGGAGGCTGAGGTGGGTGGATCGTTTAAGCCCAGGAGTTCAAAACCAGCCTGGCCAACATGGTGAAACCTTGTCTCTACAAAATATACAAAAATAGCCAGGCATGGTGACATGCACCTGTAGTCCC